GCATAAAAAAAAAAAAAAAGGGAACAAAATAGGGAGTGGATGTGGGGGCCTCTCACCTGTGGCAGCCGTGAGATTCAGCTTGGGGCCATCTTTTCCGTCCTTCTCTGCCCACACAGAAAGTTCATACTTGGATGCTGCTTGAAGCTCACCCACTGTGCAACTGGTACTTGTGGTGTTTTGGGTTTCATTTTTGTAATATCCAGCTCCAGTGCACTGTACCCAGTAAGTGTAGTTCTGCACGTCCAGGTCATCAGGGGCTGCCCAGCTCAGGGTGACAGAGCTGTTGGTCCAAGCCTCCACTGTCAGGTTCCTGACTGAACCTGGTTTGAGGTCTGAGAATTGGGAAAGAGGGTCCAGTATGAATAAGGGAGCAGGTCAGACCTGTCCCTCCCACCACCCTGAGCTTTTGCCCCAAATCCGGAAATATCAGCTCTCATAGGCCCTACTGTGGACCACCAGACCCCAAGGGGATCCCTCACCACAGAGGCTTATGAGGCATTGAGGTCACACTTCTCTGAGTGGGCAGTGAATTGGGGCAGTTGTCACTCACCGGCTGCCCTGGCCCCTGTCCAGCTGCACAGGCCCTGGAGAGAGCCAAAGAGGAAGCAATCAGCCTCTGAGCCCCACCTCCCTGACCACAGTGAGACTGGGGCCAACAGGGCAGTCACTTTCACAGTCCCACCCTGCAGGAGGAGGGAAACGTGACAGCAGCACTGGGCTGTAACAAAGGTCACCCCAGTGTCTCTGGTTCCTGAGGGTAGCACAGGGAGAGGGCAGGGCAAAGCACCAGAGACCCAGCAGTCGGCTTGGCTCTACTTGATAAGGCCTAGAGATCAATTGCATGGTTTCATTTTCAAAAAAACACTACCTTGAAAACCCAGGGGTTGGGGGTGGAGGCTGGTAGCAACCAGTAGACTGGGGAGAGAGAAAAAGATTGAGGTGGGGCCAGAGCCTGCACCCTTGAGGAAATTCTTGCGTTTAAACTCATGGGAGGAGGGGCTGAGGGGATCCCTGGGTCTGAGGGAGGAGGGACTGGGGTGACCCCTGGGCCTGAGGGAGGAGGGGCTGGGGGACTAGTCCCCTGGGTCTGAGGGAGGAGGGGATGGGGAGACCCCTGGGTCTGAGGGAGGAAGGGCCGGGGAGACCCCTGGGTCTGAGGGAGGAAGGGCCAGGGAAACCCCTGGATCTGAGGGAGGAGGGGCTGGGGAGACCTCTGGGTTTGAGGGAGGAAGGGCTGGAGAGACCACTGGGTCTGGGGGAGGAGAGGCTGGGGAGACCCCTGGATGTGAGAAGGGGCTGGGGGACTGGCCCCCCGGGTCTGAGGGAGGAGGGGCTATGAGGACCCCTGGGTCTGAGGGAAGGAGGGACTGGGGACATGAGCCTGTCTTGCCTGAGTTCAGCATCTATTCTTTCCAGATACACCATTCTCTGAGAACCCAGGCGTAAGACTCTTCCACAATCTCCACCAAACTAAAAGCCTCCTCCTTCTCTGGGGAACCACCAGCCCTAAGTCTTCAGGACCTGAGTATGGGGACCCCAGCTCCGCCCTTCCTAAGACCAAGGCATCCTGCTCCAAGCCCTGGGAAGGGACCACTTACCAACAGCACCAGGCTCCCCCAGGCCCTGAGGACCCCGCCAGCTGCTGCCATGTCTCCCAACACTGCAGAGGGACCCAAGAGTCCCAGGCCTGGTCATTCCACCTGCTGGACTTTAAACTCAAGAATTTCCCCTTTCCCAGCCCATTGGTGAGGCCAGAGGCCAGGGCGGGAAGGGGAGGAGGAGGAAGTAGAGGCTTCAAGTGTGTGAACCCAGCTCCCAGCCCTGCCCCAGGTCTTTACTTCCTCACCCAGACATTGGAGAACTCCTCTCATCTCTTTCTAGCCCTGCTTGAATCCTCAGCCCCCAGCCCACACAGTCTGTCCCACAAAGATCCCTCTGTTTCACCCTGTAGGTCCCCACCTCCCAACGTTTGTGGATGCCTTCTCCTACCAGGTGCACCTGCTGGCCTGTTCTCAGAGCCTCCTGCCTCCTCCTCTGGGGCTCAGTTCAGACACCTTCCCACTGCCAAGAGGCCTTCTTAGCCCCACCAGAAGGTGTTGTGTGCTGTATCTGAGGCTGTGGCACACACAAGGGTGTATTTGCATATCCACCTTGTCACATTCTACCTGTGACCTTGAGCAAGAGAGTTAAATTCACAGTGATCAGATTCCTCTTCTGTAAAGAATGGGCAAAGAGGCTCGGCACCTGTAGCTCAAGTGGCTAAGGTGCCAGCCACACATACCTAAGGTGGCGGGTTCAAATCCAGCCCAGCCGCCAAACAACAATGACGGCTGCAACCAAAAAAAATAGCCAGGCATTGTGGCGGGC